GATCAAGCTCGGAAGGCACTCTTGCGACTCCTGGCAAACAGGCATGGTTTTACAGAAATGAAAGTGTGTCTAGTCACCTGATTCCTGTTTTCAAAGCCGCAAGTCAACTTTGGACATTTCCTCTTGCAACGCGAAGACCCTTGCGAGCTTTGTGCGAGAAGTTGAGAAAAGAATGATTTTAACGCGTCTAGAATGGTGCTTAGAGTTCTACGAAATATATCCAGGTGCCTTTTCCGGGTTCAGACGAGGCCACTCATCAATTGACAATATGGTTGACTTGGTGACATATGTAGAGCACCGAAAGGCCTGCAAACGATTATCTTCTGCTCTGTTTCTTGACGTTAAAGGTGCTTACGATAATGGCACCCACGAAGCCATTCTCAGCGCATTAAAAGGTGTAGGACTCGGTGGCAAGATATACATGTGGGTTCAGAGCTGCCTACAAGAAAGGCCATTTCACGTGCCGACAGAGATCACGACGATCGAGTATTACTGCAGCCGAGCAGTTACACAAGGCGGAGTTCCAAGTGCGACGTTGTTCAACCTAACACTCATTCGACTAGTTGGCAAACAATGAAGCAGCGTACTACTTTCCATTTATACTGATGACATTTATGTGTGGGCATCAGGTGTGACTCGACTTCAACTTCGCGCTCGACTTCAACTTCGCGCTCGACTTCAGAATGCAGCATCAGTGACATCGAACCACCTACGTAAACAAGGGCTCGACATCGCAAGTGGAAAGTGTGCAGTCGTGGCTTTCACCAGAAAGCCAATGTCTGCTTACGGCATAACAATTACCGCCAATTGGTTTCATGCAGCTGGAATCACAGATTCTTAGGAGTCATAATAGACGGAAACTTGTCTTGGACCACACAAGTATTGGGACGTTAAACCCCACAAATCAATCACTCAACCACACAAGTAAACTATGTGAAAAAGCGGCTGACCGACATTTGTCACTTGTTCAAGTTCCTTGCCAGAAAAAATAGGGAGTGACTGCCGAGTCTATGTTACAGCTGTACAAGGCATTATTTATTACATTCTTGCGGTACAGCCTACCTGTTATATCTAACACATGAAAAACTGACCAGCGAACTCTCCAGAATATCCTCAGAAGCGTGGAAGCTTGGGCAAGTTGGTAGGACATAACTGAATGCAGGAACAGCGCAACCTAGAAGTAGTTACTTCGTAACTACGGAAGCGAAAAAACAAGAACAGAAAAGAGCGCTGACTTTCAACAAAGATTTAATGCCAGAGTGGTGTACATATATAGGCAAAAAATGAGAAAAACGGGCATGCGCAGAAGGGTGCAGGAACAACTACTGCGATACAATGTCAGCAAAGAATCGGTAAACGCGCTGGGGTCACTGTTATTTTTTCCGCCCCAGAAAAGCTTACAAAGCTTTGTAAGCTGGTGAATAATCCAGCTGCTATTAAAGGAAGATGCACTGTGAAACACAGAACGCGCTTTGTACCTTGTTTTATTGGTGTCGTATATCTCATTCCGCTTTCGTGCGGAATGGTATACATAGGGCAAACCGGAAGGTGCCTTAATGACCGTTTAAGAGAGCACAATAACAATGTACACAACGTGGTTCAAGTACACCTCGGAATCCACTGCCGAGACTGCGGCTGCATGCCAGTTTTTGAGCGTTGTGAGGTAATAAGCAAGCACAACTCGCAGGCCACACGTGAGATAATTGAAGCCTATCAAATAAACAAGTTTGACGGTAAATGTGTAAGTTGCCCATTGGTTGCGTTGTTGCAAAAGGAGATTGCGTATCTCGATCTTTTTTAAGTTACACAAGTATTTGTTTTTTCAGCCTATTCAACAAGAGACAAGTGTTTTGCTGACATTGTATCGCAGTAGTTGTTCCTGCACCCTTCTACGCATGCCCGTTTTTCTCATTTTTCGCCTATATATGTACACCACTCCGGCATTAAATCTTTGTTGAAAGTCAGCGCTCTTTTCTGTCCTTGTTTTTTCGCTTCCGTAGTTACGAAGTAACTACTTCTAGGTTGCGCTGTTCCTGCATTCAGTAATATCCTCAGCTCAGGATCTTAGGATATGCCATGGTTTACCCCACTGTGGATCGCATCGACGGCTGAAACCGTTGCCATTGCACAGGACTACTCGATCATGACGCACATCACCATTAAAACGATGCGTACATACCTCAGGCAACATGCTATGAATCCTTTCTACCACTTCGCAACCCTCGCTACTGAGAGGCCCTGCACAAAATTTGGTGCAATTGTCGTTGCGCATCGTGCACCGTTCACGCACGGTTTTACACCTGTGCAGAAATCGGTGTATCCTCCGTGGTGCCTGACACTTCCGCAAGTACTTACTTCAATTCGAATTATAAAGAAAAAATCTAGTTCGTTTTTGTCAGCCCTAAAACAATTGAGCTTGCACCTCTTGCACGAAATGCACAATAACGACGTGCACTTAGACACCGATGGTTCAACCGCAACGTCTGGTTCTGGCGGTGCGGTGGCGATTCCAGCTAGAGGAATCACTCTGCAAATCAAGCTGTCACACGTCACTACGTCTATGGCGGAAGAACTTGCGACTTTGCGTGGCGCCCTAGAGTACATCAAATCTCAGAGACTGAGTAAATGGGCTATGTTTTCCGACTCGAAACCGGCCTAACAGAGTATGCAGTCAGTCCTTCGACGACGTTGCCACGAACAGTTAACATACGAGGTTGTCAAACTTCTTCACCACGTCACAGAAACAGGCCACGATGTCAGTTTTTAGTGGTTACCTGGTCATTGTGGTATCAGTGACAATGATTCCGCAGACAACGCGGCTCGCACATTCTACCAAGAAGACCACACCCTTTCGATTCTTTTGTCAAGGACAGAATTCGCAAAACAACTTCGTCACCTAGCACGTAGTCTGTGCCTGCCGAAGTGGAACACCCCAAGCATAAAACCTACGAGACTCTATCGAATAAATCCTCGAATGAAACTTCGACTTCCATGCGGACTTCGTCAACATGATGCTTCACTTATTTATCGCGTTTAGTTGGGGGTCGCCTTGACAAAACATATACAACCCTCATTGCATTGACCGACAGTGCGAAATGTGACGTCTGCGGCACCGAAGAAGACATCAACCATCTGCTATGCCGTTGCCCTCGATTAGCCTCTGAAAGACAGAAGCTTTTTGACGCATTGCGACAATTGGACGGTTGGCTACTCTTCTTGCATATGCTACTGGAGCACCGTCCTCGTCTTTTGTCGGCTCGAAAGGTAGTCAAAGCCGTCTTGTACTTTTTGAGGACTGTGGGCGTACGTGAACACCTTTACCTTTTGTGTAGTTCCACCGCTGCATACTCATCAGCAAATTAATTGAAATTCCTTCTTTTGTCTCTTCCTCTTCTCTTTACTCTCTATCTCTCATCTTTATACCCCCTTCCGAATCCCCCAGCGTAGAGTAGCAAAAGGGGCGTGAGCCTGGTTAAGTTCCCTGCCTTCTCTCCTGTTGTTCTTGTCCCTAGAACAGCCGCGTGGCCAGGGATTTATTGTGTAGAAGAAGCGGAGGAGAAGGATGGTCAGCCATATATTGTGTATGTTTACAGTGTGTTTATATGTGTGCGTGGGTGTGTATCTGAAGCATCAGTGTCCAAATAAATTCTCTCCGACCTGAGTGGTCGCCTATTTGAGCAAGTCCGTTGCACCTCCGCCGGTGGGTGGTGGCGCCAGAGTCGGTTCCTCTATGCGATTGAGTGGTTACGACGTCGGGAAGTCGCTAAGAACGACGGTATTGAAGAGGTCCCACGAGGAGTTGTGGACTGATAGAGGCGAGACGGGGTTGTGTGTGCCACATGTAGTCCGTCGACCAGTTGCCTTGTCCTCCTTCTCCACTTTCTATGGAGAAAGGGGGGCAGTATGGGAATTGGTGGCTGCTAGGGTGCCAATGATTGGCGGAGAGGAAGACGAACAGACACCGCCGAAGCTTACTCAAATGATTACGTACCTTGTAGGGCCTCCAGAGGTGTTCTGGGTTCGCTGCTGCTTAGAACTCCATAGCACGCACGAGAAACTGAAAATCTTCAGGGATAGGCGTCGAACACTCAGCTGCCCCTACTTTCACCTCACTTTCACTACGCCCCCCCCCTCCCGCAACAGAGAGAACGATTCATGCACGACTTGTTCGGGTGGTTCACCTACCACATTCATAAAGTGCCAGAGTAGAACGTTAAACCACCTACGCACTCATTACCAATCTCATTCAGAATCACCCGTGCATTCTTTCACACAGGCTGCAGCGTGCATGCCTATTTGGCACGTGTTCTGTCATTGTAGCAAGGCTTTGAACAGGCGGGTACAAAAAGAGATTTAGAAATTGCGCGCTCGTATATGACGCACCAAAAAGCTTTGTCTCTGATGGACAACCCAGGTGGAACAACCCTGACCTGAGCTTCGTGGTTTGAGTGTTGTCTGCGTAGTAATACTCAGTGCCACCTCCACGTAGTCTGAACGTATCGGAACGGCGACAGTAGCTAGAACAGACCTATGACAAGGGTCGCTGTATAAGGTCGTCGCCATTATAACCTTTAATAACTGCAGATAGAAATATTTGTTAGAAGAAACCTAACTCTACAACGCTTTCATTTGTAAGCTGACAAAAGAAGGTATTCTTCACGCCAGAACACTGCGAAGACGCGTCAAAATTTGGTATTTCTATACTCTGGCGTGACTATCAGAGCAGCCTGTTGCTATTCGTTGTGGCCTGATTGCCTCGACGAACTTGATTACACCTAACTGTGAACTTTTACTGTAGGTTCCGTGCATGCGTATGTACGCGTGCCCGTCTCTTAAGCGTATCTACATTTCAGACACACATTTGGTTATGGCTCGATAAATATATATGTTAATTACAAGTATGTGAGCTAGATAACATCAGCGTAACTGCGCTGCTGGTGTGCCAAGTGCTTTTTTCGACTAGTGAACTAGGACTTTAAAACACACTGAATACAGGAATCGTCACTTCACGTTCAATCTTTATCAAGAAGATATGGACATATAACAGTTTCGTGTTTTATCTGTACGGTACACTGTTTCCTCTCCTCGGAAGATTTAGCACGATAACCCTGTCCTCCTCGGGAGTCTTCACGGGTGACATTTTGGTGAAGTACCTCGAAAATACATCGAAGGCGCTGACACCTGCAAGAAGTAGAGTAGAAAGGAAGTGATTTTGGCATACAAGGTGTTTACCTTATGCCAGTGGCGTATAGCAAGCAGTTTATTATACATCAGTTAAATGCGAAGCATTTTTTAGTGCACCTCGGGGACTTTCAGCGTGTCTATCTATCTATCTATCTATCTATCTATCTATCTATCTATCTATCTATCTATCTATCTATCTATCTATCTATCTATCTATCTATCTATCTATCTATCTATCTATCTATCTATCTATCTATCTATCTTCTATCTATCTATCTATCTATCTATCTATCTATCTATCTATCTATCTATCTATCTATCTATCTATCTATCTATCTATCTATCTATCTATCTATCTATCTAAAAAGTATTTCGATAGCTATAGCCAATTAAAAGGTATGCAGTTAGAAAGAAGTGTAAGAGAAACGCTAATAAACGTGAGGCGCCCACGTCTTCCCTCGCTCTCGCTCAGAGGAGGAGGGTGGCTCACTGCTCGGGCAAGAGGTGCGCCCGTCAAAGCAAAGCCTCGGACCATGTTTTTTTTTTTCCTTACGATTGCTTTTAACTTTTGTAATAACCTACCGGGAAACTTCTTACTCATACAGTGCAAAGCCCTAGTAGTAGACCTGTCACCGCTCAGGTTTCATCAGGACAGGTGTAGTGGTTCCGGAGCTATATCATGATCAAAATTAAGCCTAATCAATAAAAAGATTAATTTGGAAACATCACCTCACAAACAAATTTAAATTTTCTCCGCTTAATACACTAATAAACAGAATTGCTTAATTTTGCGCACTTGTGAATGAACAAGTCTAGAAATGCATCTCTCGTGAGTGATGTGCCGCGTCTGCTGACACACACTAACACATTCGGAAAATTCAGCTTGAGACTGTCTCATGACCGTTACTTCTGTATTTAAATAAGGTAGAAGTTCATGGGAGGATCCTTGGAACATGAGCTGGCGCTGGAGCCAAGATTTTGAAAAGCAAACTTATTCAAATGTTGGCTTCAGCAACACACCAAGAACTTTTCGTTGCTTGTACCGTGTCCGACATGTAGAGTGTTTCAGCAGATATGTTTGAAGACCTTTTAAAAACAGGAATGACTAGATCAATCAGGCAACATATGCAAGACTGTGTTTACTGCTGAGGCAGTCATGTGTTAAAATAACTACAGGTTGTGATTCGGTGACCAAATGTAAAAATTGGACCAGGGTTTATGGACAAGACAGCTAAAGTAGGGATCCTACCTCTAGGATGAAAGTGTGTGTTATCCGAGAAGCACACAACTAATTCTGTACATGCAAAAAACTTATGTACTCTAATGAGAGATGACAGCATTTTCACTGAATATTGAAAATAATAGAGAAATACCAAAACTACCAAATTCTTATTGCAGACTATTTACTATTTACTGTCATGTAAAAATTAAGCAAGTGTCCATTCTAGGCTGTGCCATGGCTCACTGAAGAACACTGTATGTTTTCAAATAGCTCTCGCCCACAGCACAAAGTGAATATATGTGTACCTAATAAATAATGTAGTAATATATATGAGTGAGCTGCTTATTTTCAGTTATTAGCTAATTATATTTGTAAACAACTATTGTAACAAGCACCTGTGTACATTAAAAAAACCTCGTCTGTTTTAGCGCTACGCAATGATAGTGCTAAATCAGCAGCGATGGCGTAGTTATTAGAGCATCCGCCTCGCACGCAAAAGGTCCGTGGTTCAAATCCCGGTGCCGCGCAGTTCCCAACCGGATAACAAAAAATCCGTATAGTGATGAAACTGCATTACGAGGCCTGGGGTGCGGCCTCACCGGTAACCACCGCCGGGAACGCACTCCCTCACCAGAGAAAGATTGGCCACCCTGGTGGAGTATCTGGCCGCTAGCTCCCACATGCAAACGCCAAATAACTCACGGCCCTCAGTCCCCAGCAGCTGCGAAGCAACTGCCCACGGCGGCGGTCAGATCTGCAACGCAGCACAGGGTGCTAAGAATCTCTGGATCCGGACAGGCCGCCATTGGAACCTGAACTTCGCAACGTTTAACGCTAGAACCTTATCTAGTGAGGGAAGTCTAGCTGTACTATTCGAGGAGCTAGAGGGTGTTAAATGGGATATAATAGGGCTCAGTGAGGTTAGGAAGACAGATGAGGCCTATACGGTGCTACAGAATAGGCACGTCCTTTGCTATCGGGGCTTGGCTGACAGAAGAGAACTGGGAGAGGGGTTCCTAATTCACAGAAACATAGCTGGCAACATAGAATACTATAGCATTTATGAAAAAGTGGTAGGTATCGTAATTAAACGGAATAAGAGATACAAGATGAAGGTAGTACAGGTTTACGTGCCTACATCCAGCCATGAAGACGCTTCAGTTGAGAGCTTCTATGATGACGTGGAATAGGCAATGAGTAAGGTAAAAACACAGTATACAATACTGATGGGAGACTTTAATGCAAAGGTAGGGAAGAAGCAGGCTGGAGACCAGGCAGTAGGAGATTATGGCATCGGTAGTAGAAACGCCAGAGAAGAGCTACTAGTAGAATTCGCAGAACGCAATACTTTACGGATTTTAAATACCTTCTATCGAAAACGAGGAAACCGCAAGTGGACATGGAGGAGCCCTAATGGCGAAAATAAGAACGAAATAGACTTTATAATGAGTGCACACCCAGGCATCGTGCAAGATGTGGAAGTGGTTGGCAAGGTACGATGCAGGGACCATAGAATGGTACGGTCTCGCATTCGCCTAGACTTGAGAAAGGAACGACAGAAACTGATACGCAAGAAGCCAATCAATGAGCTAGCACTGAGAGGGAAAGTACAGGAATTCAGAGTCTCGCTTCAGAACAGGCACTCGGCTCTTAGTGAGGAAACCAACCTTAGCATAGATACGATGAAAAATAATCTGACGAGTATCATTACGGAGTGTGCAGTGGAAGTTGGAGGCAGGGTAGTTGGACAGGACACTGGCAAGCTTTACCAGGAAACGAAGAATTTCATTAAGAAGCGCCAAATCATGAAAGTCTCAAGTACAACAGACAAAATAGAACTGGAAGAGCTTTCGAAGTTAATTAATAGGCGTAAGGTATCCGATGTAAGAAGGTATAACATGGAGAGAATTGAACACTCTCTGAAAAACAGAGGAAGCGTCAAAGCAGTGAAGAGGAAACTTGGGATAGGCAAAAATCGGATGTATGCACTAAGGGACAAAGAGAGCAAAATAACTACCAATATGGATAGGATAGTTGAAGTAGCGGAGGAGTTTTACAGAGATCTGTACAGTAGCAGGGACAACCACGACTTTAATACTATAAGAACTAGCAGTGACCCAGATAACACCCCTCCAGTAATGATAGAAGAAGTCAGAAAAGCTTTGGAGAGCATGCAAAGAGGCAAAGCTGCTGGTGAGGATCAGGTAACATCAGATCTGCTGAAAGATGGAGGACAGATTGTGTTAGAAAAACTAGCCACCCTGTTTACGAGGTGTCTCCTGACGGGAAGAGTACTAGAGTCTTGGATGAACGCTAACATCATCTTAATACATAAGAAAGGAGATGACAAGGACTTGAAGAATTACAGGCCGACTAGCTTGCTCTCTGTAGTATACAAGCTATTTACAAAGGTAATTGCTAACAGAGTAAAGAAAACATTAGAATTCAATCAACCAAAGGAACAAGCAGGATTTCGAACAGGGTACTCAACAATCGACCACATTCATTCTATCAATCAGGTAATAGAGAAATGCTCAGAATATAACCAACCACAATACATAGCCTTCATAGATTACGAGAAGGCATTTGATTTAGTAGAAATATCAGCCGTCATACAGACACTGCGGAATCAGGGCGTAGATGAAGTATATATAAACATCCTGAAAGAAATCTACAGGGGATCAATTGCTACCATAGTGCTTCATAAAGAAAGCAACAGAATACCAATCAAGAAGGGTGAAAGGTAGGGGGACACAATCTTCCGAATGCTATTTACCGCGTGCTTACAGGAGGTTTTCAGAAGCCTAGGTTGGGAACAGCTAGGGATAAGAGTTAAGGGAGAGTACCGTAGTAACCTGTGCTTCGCTGATGACATTGCATTGCTAAGTAACTCAGGGGACGAATTGCAACTCATGATTACGGAGTTAAACAAGGAGAGCAGAAAGGTGGGTCTTAAAATGAATCTGCAGAAAACGAAAGTAATGTACAACAACTTCGGAAAAGAGCAGCGCTTCGAGATAGGTAATAGTGCACTTCAAGTTGTAAGAGACTATGTCTAATTAGAGCAGGTCATAACCGCGGAGCCGAACCACGAGGTTGAAGTAACTGGAAGAATAAGAATGGGATGGAGCACATTTGGCAAGCCCTCTCAAATTATGACAAGTAAATTGCCACTATCCCTCAAGAGAAAGGTATATAACAGCTGTATCTTGCCGGTACTTAGCTACGGAGCAGAAACCTGGAGACTTACAAAGAGGGTTCAGCTTAAATTGAGGACGACGCAGTGAGCAATGAAAAAAAAAATGGTAGGTGTAAACTTAAGAGACAAGAAGAGAGCAGAGTGGATTAGGGAACAAACGGGGGTTAAGGATATCATAGCTGAAATTAAGAAGAAGAAATGGACATGGGCTGGGCATGTAGCGCGTAGACAGGATAACCGCTGGTCGTTAAGAGTAACTAACTGGTTTCCCAGAGAAGGCAAGCGGGTTAGAGGGAGACAGAAGGTTAGGTGGGCAGATGAGATTAAGAAGTTTGCGGGTATAAATTGGCAGCAGCAAGCACAGGACCGGGTGAACTGGCGAAACATGGGACAGTGGACGTAGTAAGGCTGATGATGATGATCTATCTATCTATCTATCTATCTATCTATCTATCTATCTATCTATCTATCTATCTATCTATCTATCTATCTATCTATCTATCTATCTATCTATCTATCTATCTATCTATCTATCTATCTAGCCGCCTACGACTTTTAGATCTCCTGGCGAAACTTGGTATGGCAGAACATGACCTTATGAAGAACATATTTGATTTGTCATAACATGAAAAGCATGACATGTATTTCAAGAATGTCGTAATTTTCATTTCATGGTCCTACACCCTTGCGGTGGTTTCGTTCACATGGCATGTCGCAAACCTGGTATGGTATGGCATGATTGCATGGCGAACACATGCGACAGACCCTAACATGAAAATCAGGACATGCACGTCATGTAACAACCTGACTACATGCCACGCTCATGATGCACTCGCGGCTGTTTCGCTAGCGTCACATATACCACACTTGGTATTATGGTACGAGAAGGGTTGACGAAGGTATGTGACTTGTGCAAACGTGATAATGATGAGATGCGTGTCATGTAACAACATGACTACATTCTACGCTCATGATGCGCTCGTAGCCGTTTCGCTAGCTTCACATGTTAATTTCGCTAGCTTCACGTGTTCACACGTTTCGCTAGCTTCGCAGGCGTTAATTTCGTTGCGTCACGCTGGCGTTGCCACGCCAGGCGCCAGTCCTGCCTTATAGTGGCAGGTGCGCGCCGTACTGCGTTGCTTTGGCGCATGCGCGTCATAGCACCTCCGGCATTTCTCCGTCGCGAAAAGAGGGAGACGCAGTGTTGTCCAGGTAACGCATCGACGTGAAATGCAGTATGTCACATTTTGCACCAGTTGCCGTCGGGCAGGGCTGACGGACGCTGGTCGCGCCTGGCGTCACAGTGTTCGCGTTTTGCTAACGAAGCGTCACTATGCCCAACGTGCGCGCACGTCAACGCAACATAGGAGTATATTGGGTCCTTTATGATGCGCTCGCGGCCGTTTTGCTAGCTCCACATATACCAAATTCGGTGTGACGTGACGTCAATGGATGACGAAATCTATGACTGGTGCAAACATGCTAAGGCTGACATGCGTGTCACGTAAGAACGTAACAACCTACCACACTCATAGCGTGCTCACGGCCGTTTCGCTAGATCAACATAAACAAAGTTCGGTATCACCTGACGTGAATAGATGCCGAAGGTAAACGGCACAGCATGATAATTATTCATGACACGGAAGTCATGTACGGCGTCAATTGCCTCCACCTCGTAACGTTGTGCTGATTTTAAGGTGACATATCAACATTTCTTATTCGTGCTTCGCATATAATCGATTTCTATGGTACAAGGGATCTGGCAGTTTTTTTGAATATGTAATGTACATAGATAGAAATGAGGTCGACTGCATGCTTAGTCAAGCTACTAATCAGCTGATGTATTTCAGCTGTGCTGCTAACCACTAGCCGGCGCAGAAATGGTGCCTGGAATCTCAAAATGCACCCTGCGCTAAGGTTTACAAAACATCAAAAAATACGTTCAAATAGATATTTGACACTTCGTTTATTATTTTTTTTTGCGTTGGGTAGCGCACAATATTTCTAAGCAGCAGACAGAACGTTGTTGGTTGTTTTATATTTGTTTCATTATTTTGGGATCTAGTTTCGCCCCCACAATTTTCACTGTCACTCAGTGAAGTCACAGCAAAAAAAAAAAAACTATCTACCAGCACTAACCGCGAAAAAAAAGTGAGCCAGCACGTGCAAATAAAACAGAAATCATTTCGAACATTCTTGTTTCATGAAAAATGCGCTTGTCTTGGTTATGAATTTGATCATTCGATTTTAGGTGCCTTTTATATAGGAAAAGTGCTGATTCACGAAATATTGTCCTGGAAGAATATAAAATTTAACCAGCCTAAACATTCTCTCCTAAACACATTACAAAAAATACTTATCACTGGGACACGGATAGTGTTATAATAAAATTGTAAAAATTAAAGTGGATGAACGATTTGACGCGTTTCTTTGCTTCTTATAGATAACCTGATTAAGGCCACTGACGATTAACTCAGGCAATAAACATATTATTACTTTTCTTAGTAGTGTAGCAACTCAGGCATGCATAAAATGAACTTAGGAGAAGTTACACCCAGTACTGTTGCCCTTGACATACTTTCTAAACTAACGTGCAACGTCTGAATTTGATGGCCTATTATAGCTCAGCAGTTATCCTCCTAACTTCAGGTAGTTTGGAAAAGCTTGGATGTCTTTCACTGTGCTATAGGTAAATTTCAATTTGCAATAGTTCAGTCGCTACGGCAGGGTAGGTATATGGACGCTCTCTTGCATCGCAGCGCTAGTCGCAACTTTCACGACCGATTGGTGGCGCGGCTATACATCAAACATAGCGGTCGTTGAGACGGTCGCCCCGAAAGAGACGATACCAAAAATACTCTTTTGGCGAAGACTCTAATTCTTCGCCCTTCGGTGGCCTTTGGATTTGTATTTTTGAGAAAGTAGGGGCGTGCTAACATGCTATATTAAGCAAATAAATGCCGAGTAGCATATTGGGAAGATCAATATATGCGCAGAATTGTATCGTATTAAGCAGACGAACTGAGCGAGAAAATGGGTGCTGCATACATTCACGGGCCTTGGTTATTTGCCCGCTAGTTTAACCCGATTAACCTCTGATGCCTTTCCGGGGCACTAATTTGAACGGGACGCTTAATTTTCCTCCCAGTGTGTGAGCGTCCAGGCCTGCAGTGAAATCAGTCGGCTGTTTCTTTTTCTTTCTACTTTCCCTTTAGCTTGAGAAACTCAAATGATTACGGTAATATTGAGACCATTCACAACGTTAAATACAACCACAAATGCGGGAAAACAAGCAGAAGCGTCTGCAGTTTGAAGCATGTTCAACACTTCAATCATCGTAACAGAGCTTCCGGCGACCACCACTCAACGGCGCCACGGTATATGGAAGTTGCGAATAGCGTTACAACGCTGGGAGCGACAGTTGATGTTTTTCAGCATACTAACGGCGAGCTATTTATTTACACAATTTTCTACTGGTTACACGGTGATCTCGGGGGAATATAATAGAGTTCCCTACAATACCAGTGAGATGCACGAAAGGCGTGCTCGGTCACCTGGTCCTTTCGATGCGAGTGCTCATCTGGCACGCGTATACTTTAACTTGTGGGGCGTAGCTGCCCCTGCACGCGCACGTTTATCTTGTGATGAAAGTGGTTTGCACGTCGCTTTATTTCACCGCAAAGATTGCTTCGAAGGTACAGAAGTCGTTTGCTCACTACAGAGGTCCCGTTTGTGAATGAGAGACGCTGTTCACACTGAAGTAACAATTGTGACACTTGTTAGTTTGCGTTGTGTATACCTGGGAAACCTTTCGTATGTCCTTTCTGTTTGAGCAGCGCCCAATGTGTAGAACTGCGAAAAGTTCTTGTAACGATTACACTGTGTGTTTTTGTCGTGCGTATTTTGTGTTTGAGCAGCAGGCTGCCTGCACGTTTCGATCAATTGCCTTTCTTCACGTGGCATTCCGGTTTGTTGCGATCGCACTCATCACCTCGTGGTGGCGGCAAAATTGTGTCTCTATTTTTGAAACAAACTTCTTCAGGGCTGTGCGCTGTGTGCCATCATGAGCGATGTTTGAGCTAGAACGCGAGCTTGTTGGCGAATAGCCTGAGTGCTCACGCACTGAAAAGAGCAGCACCATTTATTGCAATATTGCTGAATAACTCCTTTCCAAGAATTTACATAGTTGTCGTCGGTGTGGCTATGCGCGTCACGTCGTCGGTTGTGAGCGAAAATTCATCATCTTGTTCGTGATCGGAAGAACTGAGAAAGATACAAATAAAGTAAATAAAAAATTCTTGGTCCGTGTGGGAACCTATCCGGGGCCATTTGCGTCAACTGGGTGTTGTACCCCACAGCCACGCGTCGCATGTGCATGCAGTTAAAATTACTTCCTCTGGTTGGAAATGCATTGAAAGTTACTCTCATGCTTTTCATGCTTTACAAACACGCTTCACAACACAACACGCTTCAATACACGCTTCACAACACAACACGCAATACTACAGCAATATAGCGTGGTAAGAGTCTACTTCGCCATCGGGCGCCTGAAATTGTGACTACCATATTGACTTCATTGCTTAAAACCAGTACCCCCCCCCCCCCCCCCCCCTACAAAGAGCGCTTACGCCACTGCGCCTATTCGCTAAAGCCACGTAGTGCGTGCAAAGCAAGTTTGAAAGTGTTTTATGACGTGAGTGTTTGAAGTACGCATTAGCAACACGAGATTGATATTGCATTAAGCTCTTAAAAACGAAGTATTAGAGTTGTTAAATTTTTTTTAGTTATTGTTTGCTGTATACTGATTTCATGTGTCGCACGTCAACACATTAGCGAATCGACTCATTTTGTGGTCCTATGCTACAGAAAGCCCATCGCTGCTCTCTGCTTGGTGAATTGGCCTTACATCGTGAGTAGTCCGTGTTAAGAAATCAGCTGATGTTTTATTTTGTGATGTCGAGGGAAGTTTGCCGACAATTACTTGGACCACGTTACTTGTTACACTTTATTGCCGAGAGGGGACGCCGTAAAACTCCCCACGGGGGCCTTGATTGTGCTCACCACACCTTCTTGTGCCCCTTTCATAGTTTTCACGATAACACACCTCCTCGACTACAAGTCCAAGGAAGGCCTAAATGGACGTCATAATTAAACCAGCAAAACGTTGCTTACCTTCTGTGCGCTTAGTAACACTCTTGCTGAACTTGAATCCGTCGCCTCCGTTTGAGATGAATGAAGTCGTCACAATACTGTAGACCATATTTCTCCTAACTGGCTTGTACACAGGAATGCTACAGTTGGCGCACAGCACTTTCAGAGATGCAACTCTTCTACCATTTGGCTGGCGGAAGTCGTATATAACTCGCGCACCTATGAAAAAATAACGTGTTAGAAGCCATCTTCACTCGAGGATTGTCAATACAAATGTGGTGTTAATCAGCTAGAGGTCGATATTCCCGCAAACGAAAGCTCCCTTCAGGGCACGCGAACACATAAGACTAAGGAGCCTAAAACAAGCTAAAGACATAGCACAACCGTTTCTATAACAGCAGGCACACCTTCAACAGCCACTTTTTTGTAGTGATTTCACCGCTATTAGGCGGAAAACTCAAAGATACTTACTCCACCCAATAGTCCGGAACATGACTTTGTCGCATCGACATCGAGTGCGTCAGTATATTTTAAACTCTGACTAGAGATAAGTGTCACAACTTGATCCTCAATAACTTTTGCCCCTACTGAATCGCGATTCTTCGCGCTCTGACCAACAAACGTAACGCATAATGGCAGAATGCCCTAAATATGATATTACGCAGAAATACATGCAACCATATTCTTAGGATCTGTACGCAGTAAAAAAAAAGCGATAATTCGCGTGCATAGACTCGGAGAATTCAGTTTTCCTTCTCAAAAACATCCATTCTATTGGAACCTTGGTTCCTCAATATCTATCTATCTGGCTTTTTACACAGTCTAATATTGCTGTCATAGAGATAGAGAGAGATAGAGAGAGAAAACATTTATTGATTGAAGCTTGTGAGTGAAGGTGGGAGGGTCCGTTATTCCAGGAACCCTCTGGCTTGGACAGCCCGCCAACAGTTTTTTTTCTTCTATTTGCTTTGTACTTTTTTTCTTAAGGCATAATTACTACAGCATTCACCGCCCCGCTGAACGAGTCTCTCCTGCGATGCTTAGGGTGCATAAGCGTATATAAATATTCAAAGACACTTAGAAATTATCGAAAACTCAAATACAATAAATAAAACGACTAAAACAACCAGAAGTCACTTTCTTACAATAAATTTTTTCTGAGCCAGCCTAGTTCTGCAGGCTTGCTAAGGGCTAACACTTGAAACGCGTTTCGCAAAGCAGAGTAATGATGGAACTAAAGTTCTGTTATCAAATGTATCATTGTCATTTCAACAAATCACGTGCTTGTTACCCACAAGCTCCCCCCCCCCCTCCTCCTGAACGATCACTGAGCCAGAGTTACTTTAAAGCAATCTGTCAACCTTGAAACTGTGTGAAACCTCGTGAACATTCACTTTTTCCGTTGGCTATTTCTCTTTGGAAAAGTTTACCTTATGATATTTTATGTTGAAATGACATTGAGTTGTTTATGTACGTCATAAAACTTGCTGAATTTGTAGCACGCGTTTATGAAATGTATTCTTTGCACGTCTTCATGCACCCACCCCTGCGCCGGTCAAAGGTATGTTCAAATAAACAATATAAAATCCTTTTTTTTCGAGCCATTTGGCGTGAAGACAATACGTACCCGAAACTTGCAAAAATTTTCCATTCAGGTCTGGATACCAAGTGAAATCACTCACGCTGTATTCAAACATATCCCACAGTTCACTTCCTCTCATGTCCATGACTACTAAATCACTGTCGTACGGCATCGCCCCTAGGAGGTCTCCAAGTGTGACGTTTGCTGGAAGTGAAAGAACATTACATGTGCGACAAGCATTATTATCGAAGATAATTGAATAGAGAGTAACTAGCACTGTACACTCAGTAGAGAGAACCCGAGGCTAGGGGAATTAAGAGAAGCGCAACATCGTGAGAGGTGCCTTGAAAAGTTGTTGTTTGGTAACAATGTGAAAGCACACATGTCTTGTCACCCCACTGCGGTGGCCTAGTGGCTAATGTACTCGGCTGCTGACCCGCAGGTCGCAGAACCGAGTCCTGGTTGCTACGACTGCATTTTTGATGGAGGTGATAATAACGAAGGCCCGTATGTTCTGACTTGGGTCACGTTAAAGAACTCCGGGTGGTCGAAAATTCCGGAGCCCTCCACTACGGCGTCTCTCATATTCATATGGTGGTTTTGGGATGTTAAACCCGACATATCCACCAATCAAACTGAATGTCTTGTACTGACATCGGAATGCCGTACAAATTGTTAATTGTAACAATTCATTGATTGTTCGATAACACGTTACACTTGTACGGAGCATACTCACAATTCTGTCTTATAGTATCCCTGGCAATGCCTCCGTTTATGACGGCTGCGTTTACAATAGACCAGGCTCCCCGAAAAGGGCTGTCCCTGTTTGCGTAGAAGTCCAAGAATGAGTCAGCCATCAGGTTCACAGAATTGCACTCCCTGTAACGACACAACTTTCCATCGGCCTCCAATACAACTTTCGTGGAGCCCACAGCTTTTTTGATTGCGTCGTCGACAATCTTCTTGTACGGCATCATGCTCTCCAGAATCCGCTGATCTGTAAAGAGATAAAATTATTTATTTGTTCAGCGTTTTCCATTCTACATTATAGCAAACAAATGAAAAAAAAACTGATCACACACATAAGAGCAAGAAATAACCTACAATAAAACAAGGGGACTATTGAGAATGGTTGAAATTAATATAATGTGCTGACGTATTGTATTCCTAATGGACCCTTTCTGGGATAACCCTAATTGCAAATTAGCATATGCAGGCTAGTCAATATACTACTCTATGATGCACTTGTCTCGCTTAAAATGAAATGTGGCAGCTATACTTGCAACCGTGTCACAAGCCCCTCTAATTACCCAGCAGGTACCCCTTCGTCGAAGGAAGGGTGCTTTTGTGTCAGGGTAGAATCGTCCCACAACTGACTCGGCGGGAACGGCGCCTCCGATGCTTCCCTACACTTGCAAGAAAATACTGTATACAATGAAGAAGAAGTAGATCGGCGCAAGGGCAGCAGCATTGGTTGTGCAGGAGAAGCTTCAGCTAGCGAGCTGTGCTCGCGACTGTGCGCGATCACTGGACTGCTCCATTGTATTAAATAAACGTTATAGTACAAGTTTTCGGGCAGTGCATTTCCAAGGCACACCTGTTCTACACTGCCAAATACTTTTGACTGCTTCGGCAGTAGATATTGAACCAGCAAGGATCCTGGTCATCGGTGCCGTGAGTCTCGCGCACGCGGCAAGCGTCATGTATCTCGCGCATATAATAGAGTCCATTGCAACACCGGTCACCCACGTCGTCTGCCCAAGCTGATCAGACCAAGAGCGGCAGGCCGTCAACACCTCTATGAACAGCATGAGAGCTGGTGTTGTGCATACGGAGCCTTTTCTTGTGATTTTTGGGCTACCATAGCATTTCAATAGAGCCACATCTAAATATATTTTGTGCACGCAACATTGCACAAAAAAATCGTAAGCGGGAGCACGATCGGTCTTGCAATTTATCTTTGTGTTCCTTTCAGTTTCAATTATGCCGAGTTCTTGATTAGGTAATTGGACTGTCTTTATTTGCACTTGTGTTCGTTTAGAGAATATAATTTTCATTTGTTCTTCAATGTATAGCGTTTATTTTTGTATTTTCTTTTCATATGGCCGCGTACGCTTTGCCGTTGCCTTTGTTTTAGTAAATGCTTGCTTGCTGTAAAATAGATTACTGTTGAGCGAGTTGGCGTTGTGGCATAGAAACCATCGTGAGAACACAACTAGAGAGGACACTCGAGAAACAAGAGACGAGAAATTAAGACAAGAAGGCCACCACCTGTCTGTAGCTCGAAGACACAAGGAAATCCAGTACGGATTTCTCATAAAGAAAAGCTGCTTATTTGCCGAAAGAAAATCCCTGTGGCTTCGTGCTACAAACACTTGGTTGCCTTCTTTTCCCTTTCTTATCTCTTCCGCACGCTCGCGGCTTTCCACAGAACCTATTTTCAAGACGAGAACTTGTTTGCTACTTACCAAATGCCTGCGTTCCTTTAATGAGTCTATCAGTGAACCTGAACGTTACTACACTTTCGACTCGAAACGGGTCGACCAACCTACAAAAATTTTATATGTACTACTTCGAGGCCTTTCTGGCGTCGCAAGTCGAACGTAAAGTGGAATACTGCGAGTGCACCGGAACTCTGTTGCTAAATCGCCGATGCCTCCCACTTTCTAAGAGTGTCACTGACCCTAATACACTAAACAATTCGCAGCTTTCGAACCCACGTAAATTTATGCGGCTTGTTTAGCTCCTTACGTCCCTCTCATAATAGCGGCCACTCTTCAACGTAAGCAACAATCACTTTATTTAAACTATAGGATGGCAACATCAAAGGATATGCCAGTTCTTGTTAACTGAGGTGGATCGCTATAATCTGCTTCCGAAAGAAAAGTGATATTCCCAAAGCGAATGATGTTAGAGTAGTTTGCTCCGAGTGAGAGGGGCGTTACTTGGCGAGACATTTTTTGTAGAAAAGTTTGTGAACGAGCCGGCGCATAATGTATATGTCCAAGGCAGCATTGTTGCCTACGTTCCGCGACCGGCACTGCACAGCGTGGGTCAAGTCTATTGGCTTGTTAACCACCTGCCCTTTTATGCCATATTGGCCGCTGCCATGAGGCGAATGCCGAATGCTCATAAATGGCAGACGTGGAGCTGCCAAGTTCTTCAACGGAGTTGAGAGCAGGCAGGTGAGGGGGCATGGGAGAATATTGGTACCAGTGCGTTACACTAATCATAGCAACTAGTCACGTGCTGCCATGCCTAGGACAAAAACGAAGCGGACATAGTCGCGTTCCACCTTATGAGCATTGCTGGAATCACCGGAGAGTGATTGCAGCGGCGACTTTGAGCGGTGACTTTGAGCGGCGATACAATGGCAACAGTGGTGTACACTCTGGCCGCTGCCGCCGGACAAGCCGCGGCCAACAGAACCTTGCTGACGAAGTGCCCAAAACATTCTTTCTTCATCTACACTTAGGGTGACGTTGCATTGTGTCCTCTTTGCCAAGCTGGTATGTCGTATTACCCAATCGATATCCTCAATGAATCTTCTTCTTCACGAATATAGCAAGAAATCAAACCACCTTCCATATTTCATCAATGTCATCACTGTTGCAAAACAGTTGCGAAAGTGTCATTATAATGCTTTAGCTTTGCGTATTTTCTTTACTTTCGACAGCACTACCTCCTTTAATATTGTCTGCAAACAATTGTTACGTATAATTCCTATAATGATACGATATCTGTAATATATATGCGAATATATCAACAAAAATAAATAAGCGAATCTTCATTTCTGCTTAAACAAAGTTTCATACGAACCGACGTTCAATGTATCAATTAGTCTTCTCCTCTGCGAAAAACTAAATATATTAGCATATTACGTAGTGGCAACATACTTTATAGGCTTTATATAACGTACCTTGAGGTATATCCTGGCTCAGCAGTATTGGATTGCCAATCCAGTGTGTTATGACTCCTTGTCGGCTGATTTCCATACGGAGGTGACCCAGGTATTTTCCAAAGCGGTAATCTTGCACAATAAGGCAGTACGTTCCATCGCTTCGTTTATGCACGACAGGGTACGGACCTTCGGGCTTATCGTCGACTGGTGGGGCTCCTGCGAAAAGTTAATTAACCTCGGGATACAATGCTACTTCCACAACAGTGTTTATAAGAGGTATGAGAATCACATTCTTTGTCTGACTATTATCGAGTGCTCTCCTGAACCGATAGCATCGGCGCAAGTAAGCGTGTTTGCGGTTTCGGGATACCGCCTTCATAGCACTGTGTTTCGTGGGAACCAGTTCAATTTTACGGTGATGGCTAAGCGGGCTTGCTGGTATGTGCGCGTAATTGCTCTGAACAGTAAAAAAACGACAAGCAGAAGAAACCATACAACAGAGGTGCAGATTTTTTTTTCTGTCTTAGGTGCGAAGAGAAGCACGGCAATGCCAGTGGTCGAGTTGGTGAACTCCAAAATGATGGCTAAGCGGTCTTGTTGGTAATATACAAGAGGGTTCACAAGTTCCCAGGTCACTATTCCACGTCTTCCTATGGCAGCGTAGCCTGTACGCTTTTCACGCCCACCCCCCTGCCCTGTGCAAACAATTATTCCTAACAGCGCAGTAACGGGACACAGAAGACACCACACAACACAGCGTTTCTGTTGTGTAGTCTTCCTTGTGTCCCGTTTCTGTGCTTCTTAGAACTAATAATAATTCTACTCTTCGTTCAAAGCGGCATTACATAAATCCACATTGTGCGAGGTAGGTAAACCTATAAACTACGTGTAACAATAATAGTGTGCTTGAGGAACACTCACAAGTGCCAGTCGAGGAATGAGAGTCGCGCTCTTGTTAAAGGACTTGTATGAGCGGCAGCTGTCCTATACTTATCAGTCGAGAGTTGTGACCAACGGACAGGTGAAGTTGCCTGACCAAAACTAAGCGCATAAAATAGGCTTATCGCATGACACGAAGCTGATACTTGGGCTTTTTCTTTAGTGTACTGTAGCCTGAAACATTGGAGAGCTTACGCTTCTATGCAAACAACTAACCGGCACCAGTCTTTTGGCCAACGATTTTTTAATAAATGAATCTTGTCCAAGAATTTCAGTTGTACAGAAATAATCAGAAGGCTCAGTGAAAAAAAAATGCATCATCGTGCCGTCTCTGCCACTCAAAGAAGTAAGCAAGCTTATTATGTGATGACACAAACGACGCAGCAAGTCGTTGGAAGTGATTTTTTGTCAGTTTTTTTTTTCGTCTTCAATCTGTTTTTTCGTCTTCAATCTGTTTTTTTTTCGTCTTCTCTCGGCAGCTTCAAAACCCTTTTAGTGGTGAATAAAGACTAGTTAGCGTAAGAAACAGTTTCACAAGTATACAAAATGTAAAAGAAACATGCGCCTGATTTTGTATATAGCTTCTTTTCGTCGCCGTGTTTCTGCAGTGCCTGTTTCTTAAATATTTTGCACTAACGTTTACATTTCGGGGTCTTGCTGTGTCAAATTTGCTGTGTACAACAACTGTTTGAAGATTAAGAATAAAATCTTTCGCAGAAGCGCCAATCAGCAATAATAAATTTCAATATATTATGCTCCACTATTACACGAGTATCAAACTTGGTAATAGTCTTATCAAGGCACAGTGAATGAGACACGCACCATATATATACAGGGGCAGCCGGTTTATCTTGAAGTGACACTCGTCCCAATAAAAATTGAATTTTTGGTGACCTTCACTATAGGTAAAAGTAGCGCAGAAATGCTGCGTCACACGAGAAAGATTATGTTCAATTCTCCAATAAAACATTCGATAAACTCGAAACAGACCATTGCTTTATTTGCCTGCGCAGATGCTTTCAAATTGCCATTTTAGATAACATGGTTGCAGAAAAAGAACACAGTTTGAATGAGTCTCCTCTTTCTGGCTCCCTAAATCAGGAACATGAAGCTCCGGGAAGATGATATTGAAAATGGGAAGAAGTGACCTTTTATTAGAACCACGAATAAAGGCACGTAGGGAGTCTTACCTGTGTATAAAAACGTGTTTGTGTGCCCACCGATAATAAGGTCGAGCTCAGGGCATGCCGCCGCGATTTTTTGGTCGACGTCGAAGCCTACGTGGCTTATTAAGATGAAAGTATTGATACCTCGCTGCTTGAGCTTGGCAATCTCTCGGTTTATACTCTCAACTTCTGGCAGTATCGCGATGCGACCTGCAAAAAACGCAAGACCACGGTATATAGCAAGCAGAATGACTAATTATACTGAAATTACATCTTGGAAGAAGTGGAATCCGAGCGCATTACATGAAAATAATGGGGTTGATTAAAAATATTCGCATTAGAGCGTATCATTACAATACAACATAGCAAGCTTGTCAAATTTTTACAATGGCATGTTGCCCCCTCCCGCCTTTAATGTTTGTTTGTCGCTTGAAGCAGAGTAATGAAAGTTACTTAGTTATTTGGATCTACATGAGTCAGTTTTTCGGGAAAAATAAACCAAAGTTGGGTTTTGTTTAGACCAGCGTTCCTGACAGCCCCACTCTCCGTTGGTTTCCTCTAAAACGCTTGAAAAAAAAATGTTCAATGGGCACTTGTTGAAATTGAGGGGCGCACTTTTCAGCAATGCACATTGACTCAAACTACGACGAGCTGCAAGTCTCCATTATACAGTTAAGGTAAACGTGCGCGAAAGATGAGAACTGATTTAAGGCAGAAAATAAATGAGTGCCAGCGAATTATTGGAGATGTAACATAATTAATGCTGTTGAAGAGGTACCAAGACCTAGGATCAAGTATCGTGTGAAACGAATCGGTTCAAAAGTAATAAAATTCTAGCTCCCATAATGTATACGCACGGGGAGGATAATACTTATATCGCCCAGGGACCGCGGTTTGCTGTTTAAAGATTTTATTGTTTTATGTGTTAGTGTAGGGTGCGCCTGAACTTAAGAAAAATTCTCAAATGTCTCCTAAAAAAGCACTCTCACTGCAGGCGCTACGCATGGGATGAGGACATACAGCAACTTGCGCAAGCACCAGTTTTTTCTCGGCAGTTGTGAGTGTGAATGTGTGAATGTCAATGCGCTATAGGAAGAGAGAGAAAAAAGCGCAGTAATTTGGTCCGGAGGTAGTAGTACAAGGTGCTTAAACATAAAACTGCTGACTGGCTGTATGAGCGCCTCATCATCAGTTTAAAGAAGACTGATTTTACTGTGCGGGCCACTATTGCACTCGAAGTGCTGCTTTGTTTGCCGAGTAAAGATTCACTGAGAAGGGACAGCGCAATCTTAAGCGGTTTGGTAACTGTTTGCTTCGTCACCACATTCGTTCTAGATTTGTCATTGATATTTGGAACCGTTTCGCAAAGCAACACCAAGTTAATATTCTGAAGTACCTGAGGAGAGGGACAATGCATTCTTTTTGAGCACTTGGTGTCGTTTAACGTGCACGTAACCCAGAACAAACCGATGTTCTTTGCATTTAGCTTCCATAAAAATGCGGTTGGCGGGGCTGGGAATGGAACCCACGTGCTAGCGCTTATCACCGGGACGTCATACGTGCTAAGCTACCACGGAGAGTGCTCACAATGTTTGGCAGCCTTCTGTTTCGTTCCTGCCACTGAGGTAGCAATGATAAAGAGACTACTGTATAAATTATCACACTGCACACCAACTATTATACCGACGACAAGTTATGCCGTGTTATAAAAGGCGGTTCAATAACAAATATTTCCTCAGGCTAGACTTGTTTATTATATAAAAGACGCTTATTTACACAATTTTTACAACTGCTTTAGAGAGCCGAGAATTTACATTCGTTTGTTTTTGAGATGTCACTGCCTTTTCGGCCACTGAGCCACGCCATACCCATCCCTCTCGCTTCCTCTATTGTTAGCCGTACCATCCAGTCAAGCAAGGGTCACTCTGGTCCAGCAACGGGCAGTCATCTAGCTTCTGGAGCATACACGCAGGGGCATCAGTCACCCAGCCCTTTTCGTGGGAACCCACAAGTCTCTGTCAGAGGCCGCGCGATGGCTCGGGAGAATCGGAAGATCTTTAACATAATAAATACAAAAGCGACTGCCATGGAACAAGGTAGAGGGCTTCCCAAGAAGCTTTGTATAGTCACTTGACGTTAAAGAGGAGCGAAAATATCTGCCCAATACTTTTACTCAGTCGGACCTATGCCACCACTTTAAAGAACACCTTGTGGCTACGCTGGTTTTTGTAATGATGGCCGTGAAAGTCACCTAAGGTTTCGTACTAAGAAGCGTTTACTCCCCATATTTACTTCCGGAAAGCTAGGAATCATAAGTAGACCATTGTGAGAAGCACATCATCAGCTCGATTCTATTATTTCATCGCTTGTGGCACATCTTGTATCTTGGAAAGGACCAAATGAAGTAGGTTAAAGGGGCTGGGCAGCTATGAAATACCCCGCTCCCTGGTAGGAACATGTCGGAACGTCTATGTATACAGTGGCGGTAGTAGCGAATATCTCCCAAAATGCCAAGCACTGCTGAAAATGTTGATTTGCGAAAGCGATCAGTCAGGAAATGAAGCAGCACCCTTGTGCGGTGAACTGTAAGTGTGACTATTCGGTACGCCATCGTTCAATGCGATGGACAGATATGAAACAAAGAATTGCATTACTCACGTTTTCAGCCCAAAGCTGCTAAAGAATCTGTTTTTGCTGAGAAGCAGAAAAATTTTCTCAGTTGACGCAGAATTCCCAGATCAGGCCAAGCATCTCCATTCCAATTTCTTTTTCATATTTGTTCATCTACTTGGTAGGTGTTCTATGAAACAATTTAATTGTCAACTAAACTCCACGTTCTTCCTCCTATGTATTTATTTTCTGTTTTTGACACTGCCGATGGTTTGATCCTTGCTTCTCTCTAAGAGTTGGTCGACGGCCAGTGGTAAAGTTTGGACCAGGTTCCGTACTAGAGACACGCGCAAATCAAAACTGGGAAGACTTTATTTTTGAAGAATGTGTATGGGTTTCTTTGCTAATTCACGAGAAATGTGTGGATGAATTTTGTTTCTTTAAGATGCATAATCGGAACAAAATATCCGGCTCACTACGGCCGGCACGCTTACGTAAGTGCTGAAAAAGGACGGTGGTCAGTACACTTTTTTTCAGATTGATATAGTACACTACGCTTCTTAATCAGATTGTGCTCTCCAAAGGCGTTATAACAAAAATGTTTTATGGGCGATAGACTAGATTTAGCATGTACTGCTTGCACAGATTATCCACCGGACTCTTCTTATAGCATGGGGATCATGCACGCAACACAACACGCACACGTACCTTAATAACTGATTACATGCTCAAGTCCACTCTGTCCCCAGGAAGACAGCCGATTCATTCGTACAACCTCTTTATCAGTGAATGTTAGCATTGCCTGGTTGCTCGACATGCATTTCAATACTAAGCTGCAGATGCTCACCAGGTTTGGCTATCGTAATTGTTTCAGTTGTAACGACACCCAGGAAACCTATCTGGAGGCCATCAAAAGTGTACACTGTAGACTTTGGAAGATAGATGCTCCTAAAGCTCGGCTCGGCAGACGTGTCAAGGTTTGTTCCCAGAACCGTCACATTCACATTATTCATTGTCCGAAGAAATGGTGCCAGTCCTTCCGGTCCGTCATCAAACTCATGATTTCCTAGGCACTGCAAAAAGCAAATCGACGCATAAAAAATGCGAAAGTTTGCATGTGAAGATTGGGAGTGGAGAGCTGTAAGGGTGCGTTAGTAACTGAACCTGGCAGTTTACAGTTTGCTTATTGCCAGAGCTTTTAGGTAATCGTGTGTTGTCTTTTCATTGAAGAGGAGCCATATTATTGTTCTCTGAATGTGTCCCAGAAACAAGTACGGCTGGAAGCTAGCGATGATACGAATTTCTCGAATTTTTCATTCTCATTCATAGCGATCATCGCGGTCACTTCTAGAATTTGCTATTTCTGCTCAAGCCTCATAGATTATTTTTGGAAGCAAGCTAGTAGGTGTCAAATTCTGTATAAATCATTCTTTCTGAGCTTCATTTCCAAGCTTCAACTTTACCTTCCTCTTAGCTTCGCCTTTGCCTAAGTGGTGTAACTGAATGGTGATAATTGCTGTTGGCCGCCTTGAAAATATGCCGCGCCACTCACGGGCATTAGGATAACTTGTCCATTTTGCATTATGTCCCTTTGCTTATTTATTCATTCACATACACCAAACTTCAGAATTGCTAACATAGTTGGGAAGAAGATAGTGCAAAAACATTCATCAGAATGCACCTAAGCAACCCGATAAGTGGTATTGACGTACTCCAGCGAAAATTCGGAAAGTAAAATGTATTGAACATACAAATATAGATGCCTTAAACATATTAACGTGTTCGAAAAAGATTGCAGTCAGTAAAAACCACGAATCTTGAATCTCTACACCAGCGCTTTTCCGGAAAACCGACGCATGACCACAGAAGTTTACGCGTATAACAGTGCCCTTATGGAAATATGTTCTATAAGATGCAATGTGCGAGTGCAGATTGCCACTTGGTGAAACGTGTTGGTTATAGCAAAGCGTGTGTACTTAATATAGCTCAATTACATGTAAGACAGTGCAACTATAGGTAAAAAAAGCTGCTCTCCTTGCATATATTTGACGCTCAGAATGCTCAAAAGTCTTTGTAATAAATCTTACTGCGAAAGTATGTAACATTGTGGGGTGGCTTATCAGATGATGTATGTTCTACATTAGGGTGCCATGTCGGATTTCAAAGCACACAACTCTATCCTAGCATTTCAGGCTCCATAAACGGCGCGACGCTTTTCAGAACATGGCACCTAACTTGAATATTTCGCCGCACCGTGATTATTGGTTTAAATATGGTGGTGGCACACGACAAACATCATAACTAAATGTTAAAGGCAGTGAATGAGGCTTTCTTGTTCTGAGATTGAAGATGAACGCAAACCACTGAAATGTGGAATTACATTCTCAACCGTCATCAGTTTGTTGTTTTTATACTGCACTGAAAGTTTCGCAGTACGATATATATTTCTTATTTATTTATTATCACGTTGAACTCTCAAGGCTATGCCTTGTGACACTTCGGTACTGACGAGAAACTGGCTGCAATTTCTGCAGCGAAGGTGAAGTGCTTGCGGGAAAAATGTATTCTAGCGGGACCGGTATTGACTGTATACTGGTTTCAGGCAGCTGCAGAGCTCACTTATTGCTGCTATGGTGAAAATGAGTCCCACAAGGGAGAGTACCAGTGCACAATGAGGCATTGAAAACTGGGTCCACGCCACATAGTCAGGGTTACTCATTCCAAGATGTTTCCTTACATTATAATACTTCGTTGCAGGTCATCGCAAGAACATCTCAATAAAGCACCCTTGCTTGTACAACGGCCATCGTAGTTGTTGTGCTCCCTTTACATATATTAGTACTCACCACTACGTCATAACCCATTTGGGACATTGCTGCCGACACAATCTTATGCCTTAGTATAGAGTACCATAGTGTTCCTTGATAAAAGTCACCAGCATTGACGAACAGCACATTTCTTGAAGACTTCCTTAGCTTGCGTGCCTGTTTGAAAAATATACTAAAATTAGCTCTACAGTGACGGAAAAAACTATAAAGTGCACACTGAGGCTGACAGAAGTTCATAGTCGGTTGATCACTTTATGCTATTTTCGAAATCACCTTAAATTCTGAAACATAAGGCATAGATGCGGTGGTCATGTAGGGCCGCCATTACACAAGGGCTGTTATGATGGAGGTATGCCGGGTGACATGGAACAGTATCAGCATGATCTACAAGAACGCGTTCAATCGGCAAAGTGCTGTCTACAGATGCCTGACAAGAAAACCCGCTGGAGGTGGCCACTAATTGGTCGTCACTGCCTGTGTGTTCCTTGGCTCGTATTTTTAGAACTAGTGTGGTGACATGGGTGATTCGGCCAATATCTGGGGCACATGCAAGATGTGGAGATTTACGTCCGAGCTTTATGGTCGGGGTCTACGTGTGTCGTCGATAAACATAGAGAAAAAAAATGTGTAGATACCAAGCAACACACATAAAAAGAGAAAAATACAGACGATGAGAGAGCGATGACAGCGAGAGGAAGACATTGAGAGAAAAAGAAAGGAAAGGAAAAAGAAACGAAAGAAACACTGAGAAATTCTTACAAAGACAGAGAAACAAAGAGACGTTGACAGAAAATGGTATAAATATTGTCACAGGGTCGTGACGGTGATGAAGGGAACAGGCTGTAGGTCTAATATTAAACAATTTTGAGGCCGAACTTGTAGCTGGTGAACAGAAGGTCAGATTACAGTGCCAAGCACTGGTACTGATAGCAGCGAACAGAGTGTCGACCGTTGGTCAACTGACAAACGCGGACGCACGTTGGAATTTACACATGCGTCATAGAACATTCAAGCATTATCGTTAGTGACCACGTAGGTTGCAAAACAATCTGTAATGTTCGCGCTGTGCGCGCAATCCTAATAGAATTATCTACTCTACGACCTCAAAGTTCCTCGCACACTGCAGGAGTGGTGTGCCTTTAATATTTTACAGTGTGATAGGGCAAAAACAAAACTTGAAGAGAAATGATTGATTAATACTTTTGGGTAAACGTCCCAAAGCTACTTTATGAATATTAAAGACGCCATACTGGGAGGATCCGGTAATATGGACCACTTGGGATTATTTACAGTGCCCCCAAATCTGAACACACGGGCCTACATGATCCGTCGACTATTTATAGTTCTTTCAAAAACTTCGTATATTTTTTGCCTTGTGAGTGGAAAGAAGACATTCGCAACTGGTTTTGCCGGAAACAATTGTCCTAAGTACAATAAATCCGTAAGGACAAAGCGGTGGGGTGCCACGCTAACCTTCTCCGCTTTTTTTTTAAATTTTGGCGATGAATTTCACTGAATATGTTAAAGCTAAGTGCTTATAATGTATGCGTATTCCTGCTTACGTTTAGTCATTTGGCACTTCTCTGGGTAGTTAGATACTTCTCTGGGTATTAAGATACGGTGTGCTTCTCTTCGTAGTAAGATAACCAAAAAAAGTAAGATAGCCAAAAAAGGACACGACAGAATGATGCGAATTCCGCACTACATTTATTAACATCCTTATTTATAAAACTACAAGAAGTAATGCTATTAAAATTTTTAATAAAAAGATACAATCGTCTACCGTTAGCTTTCTAGGATGCTCATTATGTGCAGGACATTTCGAAACAATGTCGAAAAATGGCCTTTTTCTTCTGTCAAAGATTACATTTTTTCTATTACGCAAGCCAATATTTGCAAATGTTCTCGGAGAAAGTCTCACTGACCAGCGCTTACGATAGCTCACTGCAGAATATGTATGATGACGTCCTACGTCATAGAACACGCTGGCCATTACACGCACGCATGTGCATTTGAGTTTCGCACCTAAACATCAGCAGATTTCATGTTGCAGCTATACAAATGTGCTGTTGGAGTGCCAACAACAACTACAAAGGCTGGCAGTCGACACGTACTGTAACGAATAAATGAATGCATAATATGAAGGGCACGCATTGATAGGGAGCTACATAGGTGATACAAAACAGATTATGATATCAGTTGTTTATATTTTGGATCACACGTTTTGAGCCCCACATGCTCTATACCGTCTTGCATACACACACAAACTTCAATATGTCTGCCAAGAGGTGTGCCCAGGGTCAGTGAGAAGGATTCTCGCTCATGTCACACACAGTTTTCAACATAACGGCCGATTGTTGGGCGACTGGATATTTTTATTCTGCCAAGGTTAGGCGAGTATAAAGGGAGGTATTGTAGGATGAACACAGTGGGAACGCAAAAATTTTTCTCATAAAACTTTACTAGAGCGACTTTGTTTTTTTTTTGAAAAAAAAATACAGAACAGCTATAAATGTTGCGGTATAATAAAATCGCTTCTTCAAAGTGTTCTTGATCACTTGACAATATGCAGAACAGTGATACTTCGTAGATCGATGTGTGGCTATCTCTAAACAATCGACCATTATCAATGACATGCCTTGTGTCGATCATTGTGAGCAAAAGAAAGATAGGATGTAACCGAAATGGTCGCCATACTTCTTGGAAAACATGCGAACACGGACATCCCGACGACCTTTACCCAAAGAATGGTGTATCAAGAATAACGGTGGTGTGTTATATAGGGCATCATAGTTGATGTTACCCTCAAACGTACAATTACAAAACGTGCTTTCTTTACTTTCTGCCCATATTAATTTACCACAATAGACTGTACTATGAAAATGAGCTATTACAGTTTAGAAACAGTTTTGTACACAACGAGACGAAGAAATAATTTTATGCTCTGTGAGTCCCGACGACATGTCTTGGTCAGTTTTAGCATGGCTGAGTCCGGTGGAAGAAAAACTTGGTAAGCTACCGCATGCCAAAAGTTAAGACGTACTGTAGAATACACCATCTCCCGCTAAAGGGAACCATGTGTAGATGTGAAGGAGCAGGCACTAACCCTTATACTGGCGGCGACTTTGACTCTGGCGCTCATCGCGGCGTTGCGCAGATAGAGAAACCCACAGAGGCGCAAAGCACTCAGTTATAGATCGGTGTTTCGTACTTGAACATGCCGATCGCTGCCAATGGGCACTGAGAGACAGGAGACTCCGCTTGGACACAGAGATCCGCAGACGGCTTTTAGTGAATGCGCAAACTGGCAGTGCTTAATATTGTTCAACAACGCACAGGAGAGACGAGGCCTGCGTCGGCGTTGTGAGGTGGGAAAGGGGGAAGCATAGGAGTGGACCCGCTGTGAGGGTGCTCACACCACACACCGTATATAGCTGCACCCTAAGCTACTTTTCATATGAAAAATCACAGTCTTTCTATTACTTCAAGCACCTCTGAGCAAGTAATTCAACCTACCAGAACGCCTTTTTACAAACGTTCAACTTCAGTGGGTTTACTGCGTAAAAGATAATTAGCTTTGATTGTCACTTTATTTTATACGTGCTTTGTTTAATATGGTTTCTTTTCACTTAGTTCAAATTTCCACTTAAATTTACCTTTAAAGCCTAAAATATCTGATCTAAGGACGCCATACCAGTCGAATGCATATCTATGGTTCAAAGGTAAAGCTATGCTATGAAAAATGAGTTCATCGCCTGTAAAACATTTGGCGCGACCGACACAAAACTGAAAAGAATAACAAATGTCATTACTAACGCAGATCTCCGGCATACTCGTTAAAGAGCACGTCTCCAGTGTAGTTGCACCTAGAATATCTCTACAGAAGCAAATAGCAAGCCTTCAGTTCGCTCACCTCGTAGGCAATCCTGGCGACGCCGCCATAGCACTTGTTTTGCCTGCGTTTTTCTTCATTGCATTGAACACCTCGCTTATCACTTTCGAGAATTCGAGAGTGTATGTCATTCGTGTGAAGTATTGTCAGTTTGACTCCCCCATAGCTGTTTCCTTTGGCGTACTGCGCACCGTTTAAGTGTACGCACAGTAAAACCAACACTGTCACACAGGCAGTACGCATGGTCAAATCCCTGCGAAAGGAATTATGTCCTCCGAGTAGCTTGTGAGCTAAACAGCGGTATTCTTTCGTCATAGCAGACAGCTTTGTTACGAAAATGTTAAGTCTCTTTAACAATAGGCTGCCTTTTCGTTACGTGTTTTCGCAACTCCGGTCTGAACTACAAAAGGGCAAGTCTAAGTGACGGGATTGTTTTCCGTAAGCCCGAATATATTTTGCACCGACTGTATGCCGGAACAAAGCGCTGCTTTTCTGAACTTGGCTGAAAGCATGAAGTTTCGTTGACAAACGTCTGGTTTTGCTTGCGCGATGTACCGTCGACACTGGAAAAAAAGTGTAAGTGGTTGACTTAAGCACGTTGGCACATCAATGTTTCTCCATGAACAAAATGAATCACTCGTTCGATCCGACAGGCTACATTTTACTTGTCTAGTTTTTATGCAATCTAGAAAAAGCTGGAAAAAGTAAAAAGAAATGTAACCGTTACCGCTTATTCGTTCACCGCAAATATCAAGAAAAATGCTCTCCTGCATAATGAGTTGCCAGGACTTCGAAAGCCGCCCATTTGATCAATACTGTACATCGGCGTAGAAAAACAGAACACTTATTCATAAATAATACAGAAAAATACAGCCATGTTATATTTAAATTTACTGGTGTAATTTATGTAACCATACACCACTAGCAAATTAATATTTTGAATGCCACATTCCAAGTCCTAAAATCCCTGCAGCAGATTCTATTCTGAAAACGCACGTACGAAGTGATTTTATTGACGTTTTGGCCGCGGGTCCGGCCTTCGTCAGAGACCCGCGGCCGAAATATATATATATATATATATATATATATATATATATATATATATATATATATATATATATACATATAAAGCGCCAACGTTCTAAGTGTTCACTTACCTTATCTCGTAGTTTTTCAAACCCAGTGCGAGTGTTTTACATGTGGGAAATAATTTGTCAGTGTGAGATCAAAATTTATTTTCACATGCAAAAAAGTCAGCGTGATGCTATTTTTTGTTCATAGACCACAAAGAAATACTCGCGCGCACATTAAATTCTGGTTGAACAATGATGTAGAATTGGTAAAGACCTGTTACACTTATCCTGGATAGTTTATATGCTCTGAACAAGTGAAGGAAACCTACGTGTCAGTTCATGCACAAATTATCGCTCTTTAAGTTACTTCAGCTTCGGTGGATTCCGTGGGCGCGCTCCACTTGCGTATGAGTGTCACACAGAACGTCACGGTATCATCCCCCACGACGAAGCCTCGCCTGCACATAGCTTCAAACCTGTGGGACCCGTGGAATGCATAACCGCTAGCCGGAAACCTAAGACGAGCCGCTCTGGAATGTGTCCATGTAGGTTCTAGTGGATGGCTGCCACTAGAGTGTGATAGGAGGGCGCTTTCGCTCGGATGCACCAACCTCACGGACTCCACCTTCCAAGGATTGAAAGTTTTCCGGCGCTCTTCCACTTTTGCGTAGACGTCCAGCGCCGAGTTTTCTTCCAGAATGACAATTTTCACATGACAGTCTTTGTTGCCATCCAAGGCAACTTTCGCAGTCCAGGTTTCCGGAACAGAGAGTTCTATGCCGCGCTTCAGTAGGTCATACAGTGGCATGAAATCGGAAGCGGATCCAGAACTTGGTGCCTTTCTTCTCCTGAACAAAGCTAGGAACGCTCTATTCTCTCTGTCGGCAACTTCTCGGCCGGGCACGTAATGTGTAAACTGCGTTGTCTGTCTCCTCAAGCCATGACGCGCTACAGGCACAGAATTTATGAGGCTAGGCAATGATGCTGCACGTATGCTTCCGTGTGCTTCGGAAAGCGTGCCATTTTCCACGAGAGTAGGAGGTGTGGGAGCTAATATCACTTCGGCGCTTGCTGTCGCGCTTTGCGATACACAACTTGGCATGTTTACTTGTGGATTGGCTGATAACGTGGCGCACTCAGCTGCATTACTTGAACAACAGCGTGACTTCGACAATGTCAAAGTTATTTGCCGCATAATTTCTGTTACTTCACTGAGACTTAAACTCATTCGCGTAGATTTTGTATCAAGGTCTCTTACATACTCCACTAGCTCATTCATTCTAGATTCCAAGCTGACCAGTGTGTCGTGAGCTCTCAGTGTCACATCTTCATCCCACGTGGTGCGGGATGTAGAGTGATTTAACAGAGTACTCCAATGAGACGACTCAGTCCGCTCAAGAGGCATCATGCAGGATGTCCGATAATGATCCGGGAGGTCCACTAGCAGCATAGTCACCTTACACTGAGGACACACAGCTGGATGAAATTTGCAGTCCACTTCAAAGTGATCTGGTAAAAGTGAGGGTGACCCTATGAAATCACACCCGTAGCAAGAGTTCCAGCACGCTACCTGCAAGAGGTTGAAAAACAACAACAACGTGAGTATCACTTACACACCTGGTGGAATTCGCCGAGGCTATAATAGGCTGTATCGCAATTCATTTTAACAGTGACTGGGTATAGAAGATGTTTCAAAAACTCTATTCATTATAACTAAAAAAGTACACAGAACACATGCCTGCGCCACCACCTTCATTGTGGCAAAGAGCCCCTTGAGAGGCGTAAAAACATTGATTATGGCAGTAGTTATGGAAATAATGACAATTAACTTTTTCAAAAGTGTAAATAAGCGTTACACACAAAATAGTGAACTTAAGTCCTTCCTGCAGATAGTCTACAACCACTTTCGAATTTCTTAGTAGTGGTACTTGGTAATCACCATGGAGCGATGAAATCTGGTCAATTGAGCTAACGAAAGGCAAACCGGCGCACCAAACAGCGCAGCTATCATGCACTTCAAAAACGCCCTCAATAACAACACTCGTTCTCTTCGTGTTACCCACCGTCGATCTACACACTTAGTTTGATGGCAGCGCTTCCTGTCGCCTGATCGCTTATCTACGCTCTCTTATTCTCCTTCCCCGATGCTAGAGAATTAGTGAGGGTTGTTTACGAAGTGAATGACAGATGCGCTTTTTGGTGGGTTGGTTCAGGTTGCACCAGCTAAATTAGCCAGACTTTGTCATTCCGCAGTGATTATCGGTGGCCGGCTTTCAAAAGTTTCAAAGCGGCTATTGACTATTCGCAGGAAGTAGTCGAATTTGCCATTGAGGTTCGCCGCCTATATTATTTTGTTGAAAAGTGAATTGCTTGAATTTATAAAACTACTACCCCAGTTAATCTTATTACCTATCTTTACACTCATTCTGCCCCCATTAGGAGAATGCCACAGGTAGTGCGCAGATAGTTACTTTCTCTGCTTTTTCCATAATATTGAACACATTTCTGGAAACATGCCAATATATTTTGGCATGTACCCTCTACCACTGATTAGGTTCGGGTGGGATTGCGGGAGGGTTGAGTTGTGTCCAGTTGAACAACCTGCCTTGATGGATACTTAAAGAAATATCACGCTTGTAGCTTCACTTTGGTGTGCACTGATTAGCCCCAGATCTTAAAACTTAATGGTAGTTTCTCAAAACAAGCTTCTCAGAGATTATATTGCGGTCTGTCACCGACGTGCTTATTTACCTCTCGCTGTGTTAATGTGCGCTTCTTTACTTTATGACTCAGGTCATTTAGGGGGTTGCCATCGTAATAACTAGAAGAGCCATGAACACGCGTAATGACAGCAGTCCATAAAAAAACAGGCACTTAAAAACGCATGTGCGATAAGCGTAATTACAGCGTCGCCAGGTTCAATATAGTTTTATGATGGTGAATGAACAGTGAAAATATAAACAGTGCAAAAGCACAACTTTTTCACTTTCACATAATCTCCGTCGTAGGGCTTTTGTTATTGCGAGAGAATAGAACCATTTAAACGATGACTCTGGCCTCTGCAGGTGCTGCCCGAAGACTCCACAAAATATCTTGGGTCACACACACACACACACACACACACACACACACACACACACACACACACACACACACACACACACACACACACACACACACACACACACACACACGCACACACACACACACACGCACACACACACACGCACACCACACACACACACACTCACGCACACACAGATTTAGAGACGACGAAGTTAGCGACGTTGAGAAGCATTGCTCTTAGTCTGTGTGAGCATGAGGTGGGCAAAATCACTCTGGAGCCGTGCAGGTTTCATGATATATAAAATTCATTTGCCGAACGTCATGGTACAAGACTCATCGGAACGTGTGTCATTATGGCATCCAGGAAACTAATGCTGCGATGATTTGCGTAGAGTCCGAGCTAAACAAAAAGCACAGAGACGCGTCTGCTAAAGAACGTATCGAGAAAATGACGACATTGATAGCTGTTAAACTGACCGTATTTTGAATGTACCGTTATAATGTAACCGTTGTACACCTGCTTCTCGAGCGAGAACGGTCGACTGCTTTCATAGTCTGAGAATACCTGCCTGACTCGCTACGCGCCTTTCTTGTTCTCCAAATATTGCTGTCTCACAGTTGGGACCAAGGGCCGACAACTGCCGTAATTTACGTATACGTTTTCCTCCATTGCTTCGCTACTCTCTGAAAATAATGTTCGCTTCCGAGGCTGTTGAACTGCAATTTTTTTGTGTAACATTTCGCTGACCTCCTGCAACGTTCCTCTACACAAGTTATTGATCATTCTAAAAGAGTAGCGTTTCTCAGAACCGAATAAAGTTTTGTGTCTGTCTGTTTTGATTCTTCCCGGTGTTTGCCCAGGAAGGAAATGTGACAGTGAATGAAATGCTACTCAGATTACAAGTGTGCTCACCTTTAACACTTATAGCAAGACGTTCCTACTACAGGCATTGAGAAATATTATTTTATTCATGCTGTGAGATGAATGTAATATGTGGTGGTCTACATAAATATATTATTGTGTAAAAAGACTACAGAAGAATTCATTTGATCTGTTTGAGAATTACGTGCTATGTAAAGCGTGCACTATGATGAAATAAATAATGTAAGTGTTAAAGCATCTCACAACAAAAAACATACACATAAACCAGCTGCAGCTGCTATAATAACTGTGAAAATAAATTCACGCCATCAGTGCACA